AACTCTGCCTCCGGCTTCCTGTAGTCAGCCCCTGGTCAGTTTCAGTGGCAGCAGCTGAATCTGGAGCCAGTTCCGACTTACATACAAATTCAACTTAAGAACAAACCTATAGTCCCTATCTTGTATGTAACCTGGGGACTGCCTGTATGCAGGAGGTTGCTAGATGATCTATCTGGTGATGCCTCCTGGCCTTAGATTTTATGACACTATGACTCATTCTCTGCACAAGTTTGATGGTATGTGCAATGAATGAAGCAGGGATGTGTAGTGAATTGGGACATATTCATGTTTGTTTGGTGGGCAGTGAATGTCTTATTTTCTGGTCCTAGAGAGTTTTATCTAGACATCCAGAATCAACCAGCTGATCTTAACAGTCACCATGAGATATCTTATATTCTGCCAACTCCTGTAGATGGAGGATACAAGCTTCCACTAAGAGAAGGTGTTCCAATAAAAGCTATTATCTCATCTGCTCTCTCTCTCTCTCTCTCTCTCATATTATGACTACAAGAACACTATAAACAGCAAGCTTAAGAATTTTTTGTTTGTTTAGTGTAGGTGTAGCTCTGTCCAATTTAGGGGTTTTGCGGTCTACAAGCATGGAAAATTAGAGAACATTTCAATGTTTACTTAAACTTTTTTTTTATCCTTCAATCACTGTGTGTATAGCTATGATTGTTGCTATGATTATTTTTTGGAATACTGCAGAGAAAATTATCTCAATTAACTTTCATCTGAGGTCATTACCAAAGGCTGCAAAAGCAAAACAGAAAAGTGGGCAGAATGTGTTTTTTATGCCTCTAGCTCAATCTTGAGTTGCACTTTCAAGAAAAATGAATGGCTAAAATACAACCAATTTTTTCCCCACTGGAAAACCTTATACTATGGTAATCTCAATATCTAAAACAATGCACAGAACATTCAGTATGTATTTAACTGATAAAATGCAAAACTTTTTCATGGCTGAGCACCTTTTCTGCCCCCAGGGGACAGCTGATGACTTAGCAAGTTCACTGTAGTCTAAATTCTCAATTCTAAACATATGAAGAAACCAAGTAAGAAAGCAGTAGAGTACATATTTGAAGTATACATATTATAAGGCTCTTCTCTTTTCTATTGCTGTTTACTAAGCAACCATGAGTAGGAGTAGCTGCTGTGATTTGTTGGTTTTGATATTTATAAATATGAACATGTTATGTATATGCTGTGGCCCTTTTGTTCCTGAACTGTGTATTGTATCATCAGCTTTTACTACCTTTTGATGTGACTAAGTAAATAAATGTGTTACTAATACTAGAGAGACAGGGTGGGTGAGGTAATAACTTTTATTGCACTTAACTTCTGTTGGTGACAGAGACAAGCTTTCTAGCCATACAGAGCCCCTGTTCTTTGGTGTGGCTCAAAAGCTTGTCTCTCTCACCCACAGAAGTTGAGCCAATAAAAATGACCTCATCCACCTTGTCTCTCCAGCATCCTGGGACTGCCATGGCTACCACTGCACTAATTTACTGATACAACAGTGGTAATGACTTGTCTCAGGAGTTTGGAAGGACAAGTAGGGAGCTCAAAGACAATATTGTATATTGGCAAGTAACCCCCCCCCCCCCCCCCCAGCTTTTTTATTTAAATTCTCAGGTGATTTTCAAAATCTCTGAACCAAGAACCATTTGTCTCACCCTGCCCTGCTAACGTGAGCAAAGAACTAGATAAAGCACAGCGCGCCCTGCAAATCACCAGTGCTTGTCAAGGGTCAGTTTGAGCAAAATCGATCCGTGCGCACTAGTGGCAATGAAACCATGTCCCCCCCCCCCCAGCTTTTTTATTTAAATTCTCAGGTGATTTTCAAAATCTCTGAACCAAGAACCATTTGTCTCACCCTGCCCTGCTAACGTGAGCAAAGAACTAGATAAAGCACAGCGCGCCCTGCAAATCACCAGTGCTTGTCAAGGGTCAGTTTGAGCAAAATCGATCCGTGCGCACTAGTGGCAATGAAACCATGTCCCCAGTCGCGCGAACAGAGGGTGACACAGGGAGACTTTGTGCCGTGTGTGTGGGGGGG